TATATTTAGTAAAGATGTATGACAAAGTGAAGTTTTTATGTGATGCATTTTGTCTCTTATGACTTCATTGGACTAGGTTCGTTTATGTTGATGCAGCTACACATGCAGACAAATGAGAGATGCTGGAAATTTAAAATTTTTTTAAATTTGTGTTTTGTCACACATCTTTCCTCTAAAAAGTTCTTAATGTATTAAAATTTTATATCATTATATATAATTATTTATTTGAAAATTATAACATAAATAAGTTATAAATTCACTATAAAAATAGCCATTTTGTTTCAACACTTCTGGTGTCTTATCAGGTGATGGTGTTGAATGTAGACCATATATATATATGTAGATTCTACATTCAACACAATCACTTGATAAGACACCAGAAATGTTGAAACAAAATGGCTATTTTTGTAGTGATTTTATAACATTTATGTTATAATTTTCAAATAAATAATTATATTTGCTCTACTTTGTATTAAGCACTCTTTGAAGAATAGTATTTGTTGATTATTGGAATCTATTCTGTATACTTGTGTGTGTATATATATATATATATATATATATAAATAAATAAATAGGTGGGATAATGTGTGTGGTTTGTTGCTATCTATGGTTTCAGGTGTTTGTTGGGGGTTTTGAAAGATTGGCAGCAGACAAAGATATATTACTCTAACTGAAAAGTGAAGGACTGTAGAGTGTCCTTAAAATTCAAAAAAGGATAAGCCATTTTATTCAAGTTGATTGATCGGTTGTCACTGACTTAACAATTTCTCTTGAATAGAAAATAAAACGGCCAAAGTACTGTTTACCAGGCATTCATAAGACAGGAGCAAATCTATTTAGTAACCTTCTTTTTCTTAAAATGTAAACATTAAATAAAATTTCCTAGGGCAGAATTTTTTTTTTTTAAAAATCAAACATGATATTAATTTGGGAGTTGTTAAGGAAATTTCATTAAGTCCTTTTGTATAAAAAGAAAAAAAAATAAGCCCAAAAATCAATTTTTTTTTATAGTACCCCCCCACCCCCAAAACTTGGCTATCATCCACTTAATAGTTTAGTTTCTCCTTCCACTTGTGCCATTAGGTATTGCAGGGAGACACAGTCATATGTCAGAGGCAAGGCAAGTGGCTCTGAGCGTGTCTGTCACCGAGTCACTCCAGCAACTTTTTGGTCTGCCTCTTGCTCTCCAGCCAGAGTACCTGAAGGTGCATGCTTGTAGGGCTGGTTGGCTGATAGGCATATGAATGAGGTGTCCAAACCATACACATATAAAAATGACCAGTATGCCCACTAAATTGCCAACAAAGTAATGTTATATATCAAGCTACAATAAGATCTAACAGAAATCTAGAACAAAAATGTAAAGGAATAACAGAAGGTTCCTGAAAACAGAAAAGCTATTCACACAAAACATTATTTAACAACAAAAAATATGCTGTCTATATTTCTGAGATGAGGTATTATGTATACTATTTATATTATTCATACGTTTTAGCCATTGTACGCTCCAACCGCCTGAAGAAAGCCGGAGCGTACAAAGGCCAAAACATTGTGATAAACATGGCAACAAAGATGAGGACAATAGTCCAAATAATGTAAATAGTGTAAAAAATATGCTAACAACACAGTCCTCCCAATGTATATATAGAAACTTTAACCCCCCCCCACCAAATAGTATGGCAAATAACATGAAAATGAGAAAAACACTTCCAGTAAAACAGCATAACCTTTATCTTTGTCTGGAAATGTGATTATGGATATGTTGTTCTTATAGAAAAACAATCCATAATCACATTTCCAGACAAAGATTAACTCCCAAACACAAAAATCACCGCTCATTTCCAAATATAGACACAATAACAAAATCATACTACACATTATGACCAAGAAAACTAAAATTAAAAATTCAAATTACAAAATTTAGAGTTGAAGAATATATACAAGAATAAATAAGATAATCTGAATCATTAATCTTAAACAAAGGAACAGGGAAGGGCATGTTCATGCCTTCCCCAAATTCCAATGTCCGTACTTGTCTATATATAGAACCCACACAAGGAGTAGTGGCATACAGTTTACAGATCCCTTGAGGCATGAAACTGGCAGAAATCAGTATTGTCTTTATCTAGATAAAACATAATGGTAATATTAGACATTTCCTTGTAAGGAAACATTATATTCATTGACTGAGTAGCCATTGTTACTGACAGTGGAAATTTATAAATTTTTTTCTTTTTCAGGAAAATAGGTTTTTCAAGTGCAGTAGCTGTTGTCGCACTTTCTGGTATTGAAGTGGGGGTTATATTTCTAACCTTTGGTTGGTAGTTGTGTGGAACGTCAGAATCTTGATTAAATCATTATTTACTCTTCAAGTTATATTTTAGTTACGGTTGAAGATTCTCATATGGTTTGTTATTTGGTTCAGTTCTTTGCGATTATGTAGTGCCAAATGAAAGACTGAACACACAAACAAAATGAAAATGGCCTATTTAAAGTTTAATGAAACCAAAAATCAAAGTAAATAAAAAGGTCTGTTTTTAAATTTATAGATATACATCTTCATGCACTTGCATATATCAGAAGCTCACCATTTGGCACAATTCTGTGTCACAGAATAAATTGTCAGAAGCTCACCACTGGAAGTGCTAACCATGAAGACCTCACCAAAGCCACTTCAAAAACCTTCTATGGGCTGTGCCTCTTCAAGACATTGGCGATCATGGCTATCCACAATTTCCTGTCTTTTGTAGCTGTTACTAACTTTTGTCTTTTTGCCGTCTCTGCTAAACCCTGCTCCACCATCAATTCACTGAAGCTTACCAGTTAGGTTTTGTGCTGTTTTACTATGGCCCTCTAACCTGTCCTATGAGTATCAAATTTTCCAAGCCTGCTTTTTTCAATTTTCTCCCTCAGAAATTTCAACTGTCCTTTCTGATTTGAACTTGGGGGTGGGGAGAGGAGGTGGGTGCTGACTCAAACCAAATGCATGTACCCACCAAATATAATGTTTACAGTAAGAAGAAATAAAATAATATTGGTTATAAATAATAATATCCTTTAAAAAATTACATTGTTGACATTTCAGATACCCAGATTAAATTAGCAGTTTTTCGTGGCTGAGTAGATTATAGCACACCTGGATTAAATGGGGTCTCCCCAATATAAGGAGGATGCAGATCTGAATGCTTCTGAAAAGCACCATTTCATTATTAAGACTCAGGGTGGATCTGGGAACACCAGCAATTAAGAGGTGGTTCCATGCACGTCAGAAACCTCTTGATCAAAGGTCTATCGGATGTAGTTTATTGTCTTACCCAGGGCGGCCTGAGAAATGGACTGAGAACAATAGTCTGATTGTACATTGTGTAAATTTTCCTATGTGACAATAGCCAAATAGATTAAAGTGTTGGTTTATGAATTTGATAACATAGTGAGATCAATTACTAGGCCAGGTATTGTGTACTTAACCATAGTGGCAAAGAGAGTAAGCAATAAACGGTATTACTGGTATTAGAACCTATTTTTACACTTTCATAGTATTTTTATCCCAGTTTAGGGGTTAACAATTTGACCATAGTTGGGATCCTAACAGGTGCTACCCTCCCAGGTCAGGGTGGACCTGGGAGCATCAGCAATTAAGAGGTGGTTCCACGCTCCTCAAAACCTCCTGATCAGAGGCCTTGATGCTGGACATAGTTTATCATCTTACCCAGGACGTGGATGTAGTTTATCATCATACCCAGGATGGGAGATATACACCTGATGAAGACCAGAGGGCACAAAGATCGGAACATTGTGATAACAACATCAAAGATTAGGACATTAGTTTGAATGTAAATAGCATAAATAATGATGACTTGTCATCCCAGATATTCAAATAGAAATTATTTGCTGTCTTATTCATTTTTCATTAGCACAATGTTTTGAATGTTATTCCCTCCAGACTTCATCCTGATAACAAATAGAATTTCTAAGTGAACACTTTATTTAATCCATAAGGATAGCAGAATGAGAACAAGCTATCACTGTAAATTAAATAAAGTGTTCAGTTCAACATTCCTGTAATGTTAACCCAATTGCCATACACCTGTAGAAGGCTGTAGAATGAAACAGCCAAAATGCTGTGATCATAAAGATGCAGTCATCTCCAAATCAAACCTGTTACCAACGACTCCTCAATAAGACTTACACTTTAGTCTGGCACAAGGTTACACGTATGGGGTGCCAAGTGTGGAAAAAATTCACTACAGTAATAATGGTTTTACTGACCATTACTGTACATTCAACTGCATTAGTTACTTGTTAAAATTAGTTTGATTTGGTAAAATGATAAAAGAGTGGGAGTTCCCAATGAGAATTACGGTCAATGCATAAGTAATATTCTGTGAAACTACCTTTAAAAATAGAAACTGCTCCCCCTATGAGGCACTTAAATATTTACTATATCAGTCTGGCTCATGGCCAAAAATATGAGGGACCAATGAGGATCAATGTCATGAGTGTGTTAATGGTTCTTAAGAAAATTTTGTTACTGCATTATTTATTAACTAAACTAAATTTAATTTGGCACAAGGATAAAAAAGTGGAGTTCTCAATGATCAATGTGTTCAATGAAATTTGTAACATTATGCAAAACAAAAAACGAAATAAAAAAAAATTGCTCCTTAAAAAGGTACATCAGTATTGACTAAATCTAGTATAGATCAAGGTTACAATTATAAGAGGGGTACCACATAGAATCTCCAAGATGTATTATTATTTTTTTTTATGGCTTAAACATTTACAGGTTGTTTAAAACCAGAAATTAATTTTAGATTGTTATCTCCAAAAAATTCCTACAATGACTTACTGATACAAGTTCTACTATTTAACCCATAGCTGAGAGGAAAAGATGTTGATTCATACCTTTCCCAAGGGTATTTTTTTGCATAAGTGAATTGGAACTCAACTCTCCAATTTTTATTTCAGAGCCATTATCCATTACACAACTCCTACATGAAAGCACCTGGTATTCCCAAATGATTACCCATCTAGGTACTGACCAGGCTCAATGTTGCTTAACTTCAATGATCATATGAGAGCCAATGTTTCAACATATGACCATAAGCAAAGAATCCACAAGAATAAAATAACTAATTTTTGATGTTAATCTCTTTTCAAACCTAAGAAAAAAGAAAAGAATTATGCAAGATTAAAAGAGAATTCTTCATTAATGCCAATTTCATACTCTTTTTCTTTCTAATTTTCAGACACCATTCCTGAAGAGAGTGCAAGTGTGTTCCAGTTCCTCAATTCTCTGAGAGGATCCAGAAGTGGGAGCAGAAATATCCGCCAAGGATCAATTGCTAGCATTCAATCAGTTACCAGTAACCACAGCATGAATTCTCGCAGTTTGCCAAAACTGTCTCTTCCGACCATGAAAGGAAATTCCGTTATCAAAAAAGATGGATCGGTTGTCATTATGAAAGATGGAAAAATTGTCTGTGTGCGTCAGGATATCGGCAACAAAAAATCAATCGACACTCATATTTTTGGAGACGACAAGCAGAATGCTGCAAGTTTCACTAGTGGGTCATTAAAAAGGCAAAATTCCTCACCTGTAGATATGTATGAAGTGGATGAAGCTGGCTCAAGTTGGCAGAACAGTATGGTCGATACGAATCTGGCTGTTGACAACGCGTTCGATTTTAGCGTTATCGAGGAGGAGGAATCCATTTTGGATGAAATCGAGTCAGCAATAGTTGATGATAAAGTGAAGGTGGAAGTAGATAGTTCTTCAAGAAATGGATTGGAGCGTCTGAATAGCAGTGGAGAAGAGAACAGTCAGTTCACATTCAGTCAGAGGAGGAATGGTTCTTCTGGGTTGATCCCACAGGTGGATGACCTTACTGAAGAAAATAAAAACTCTCTAAATAGAAATAATCTTCCAGATTTGAGTATATCACTGCTGGGTGACAGCACTCCAGAAGTGAAAACAAATAATGGACATTATAGGGGGCAGGAAAAACTTTAGCACAACCGTGTTGCATTTCTTTTTTTTTTCTTTTTATTTCTCCACCCCTTAAAATTGTTAAAACCATAAAACTAGGAATCTGTGATCTTATTTATTTTGGAACCAAAAAAAAAAAAAAAAAAAAAAAGACGGTCATGTTTCTTTGGATCAGTTAAGTTTTTATTCAAGCCCTCAAATAATAAAATGTGAATACAGGGGAGATTAAAAAGCTTGAGAAATTAGAAAAATGTGTGTAAATTGAACCTGGTAAAGATTTTGTAAGATGGTGTAGTGATTTTCCAAGCTTAGCTCAGATGTGGCACAAAGCCGAAAGTATGGGGCACCCAGTGAGGATCAAACTCACTACTCAGTCGTAATTGTTCTAGTGAGACAAGCTTGCTAACCATTACACCACCTCGAGATGCCCTAAAATGGTTTTCCAAGAGTAGCTTAGATGTGGCACAAAGCCGAAAGTATGGGGCACCCAGTGAGGATCAAACTCACTACTCAGTCATAATTGTTCTAGTGAGACAAGCTTGCTAACCATTATACCACCTCAAGGTGCCCCTTTTTTAAGATGGAGTATGACAATAGTTAGTTCTCATCGTCTCGTTCAAATTATTTTCAGTGTGGGTGGAGATGAACAGTCAAGTAAGTGAATTACTTCATGGTCACATTCCATGAATGCATGAAGGGGAACTGAAACCGTTTTGGCCCAACCAAGAAACCGTTTCTTCACTAAATTCTGATGTCTGGTCAAATTTTGGAGGGTGAGTCAAAGCCAGCTCTTCAATATATATTTGCACTTATTGATATGTAATTAATGTTCTCAGATCCACCTTGACCTTAAGTGGTAGCACCTGTTAGGGTCCTAGTTATGGACAAACAGAAATAGTGACCCCCACCCAAAAAAAAACAAAAAAAACAAAAACAATAAAAGTATAAAAATATATTTTATAGTAAAAATTTACAATAGATTTTAATAGTAAAAAAAAAAAAAAAATTATTAAAGTTCACAGGAAAATTAAATTTTGGTATTGAATGACCCATAAGGAGTCGATGTGCCATTAAAGCAAACCTAGTGATGGGCCTTCTTCTTGCCCATTGCACTTAATGCAAGTAATGTCCCATTTTGTGTCCTTAAGCCGTAAGCACTACAGGGACTTCCCATTTTGTGTCCTTAAGCCGTAAGCACTACAGGGACTTCCCATTTTGTGTCCTTAAGCCGTAAGCACTACAGGGACTTCCCATTTTGTGTCCTTAAGCCGTAAGCACTACAGGGACTTCCCATTTTGTGTCCTTAAGCCGTAAGCACTACAGGGACTTCCCATTTTGTGTCCTTAAGTCACTAAGGACTTTTCATTTGTGTCCTTAAGCACTACAGGGACTTCCCATTTTGTGTCCTTAAGCCGTAAGCACTACAGGGACTTCCCATTTTGTGTCCTTAAGCCGTAAGCACTACAGGGACTTCCCATTTTGTGTCCTTAAGCCGTAAGCACTACAGGGACTTCCCATTTTGTGTCCTTAAGCCGTAAGCACTACAGGGACTTCCCATTTTGTGTCCTTAAGTTGTAAGCACTAAAGGGATTTTTTTTGTTTTACTTTAAATCTATTTCACCCCAAGTTAAAAAAGCCACTAGGACATAAGGATAAGTGTTCTCCCAAGTAGTCTTCTTGCCTTTAAATATCTATTGGAATTTAAGCTTACTCCAGACCTCATGGAGAATATACATAATCTAACAGTGGGATAATGGATAATGGCTCAGATTGAGTAATCAGAGAGCCGAGTTCAAATTCCATTCACATCCATTACATTCACTTTTGTGCTAATACCCTTGGGAAAGGTATGAACCCTCCTCTTCTCCCGCCAGCTATGGGTAAAAACCAGGTTCTATAGCCTTGGATGGCAATGGGTTTACTGCAGAAAGAAATGGCAATCTATGTGGGGAAAAAAATCTGCCTCAGTCATGTATCAAACGATACATGATCACCTAAGTGTGTATCACGCATGGTACATAACTGACTGATTGCTAAAGATGGTTGAAGAATGGTTGGTTACTTGTACCATTCTAATAAAATGGAGTATTGCTACCATCTATGGACTGGAAATACCCTGTTCTCGTCTGTTTTTGTCTTGATAGAGTATAAAAAATCCTTGTGGGTGATGAATTATTTTCTACCCTGCAACCGCTTTCCCCATAGATGAAAAATCACAAGCCTCTTGCTACTCCATTGTTATTTTACCCTGGCAAGTATTCTGACAAGCTACATTCTTTGGTTCCACCAGCCCTGCCATGACACATACACAAGGATGAATCATCTCCTTTCCCTCTGTATTCCATTAGCAAGAAATAAGTTCCACATGGAAAGCTTCTTACCAGGAACTGCTACTTGGTGGAACAGACTCCCAGCAGAATTTTCCCCAGCAATACAATCTTGACCTCTTCAAGTCTAGAGTTTCCTACATAGCTTCAAAAACTTCACTTTTTGCCTTTTCTTTCCATCATCAGCAACGCTCGACATTGAGTGGCTCTTGTATTGGCTGAACATTAATATGGAGGAAAAAAAAAAAAAAAGAAAGAAGCATTGTCAAAGTCCTGCGGCAAGACAATTACCCTCATCAGTCTCAGTTGATCCTGGAGCAAAATCTGCTGGGTTAGGTTTAGGGGAAACACCATGTGAATGTTTGTGCAATGTGGCCACTGAGGTTTGGGTTTATATAGTTTTATGGCATATCAATAACTCAATGGGTTATTTAATACTGACCAGATTTTTTAATATAGGATCGTATGAATAGAATATATATTCTTTGTAAGAAATCAGTTTGTAGATCAGGTTTCATTGACTTATTTTTGTAAAGAGGGTTTGGTTTGGTTTGTTTTATGGCATATCAACCTTAATGAGTTATTTAATGCCAACAAGTTTTTTATTGCGGGTAATATTTTTTCTTCAAAAATGTATTCCTAGTAATATTTTTTAAAGAATGTATAGCTGGTAACCTTTTTTTTTCAAAATGTATTGTTGATAATAATATATTGCTGGCAATAATATTTTTTTTACAAGGTATTTCTGGTGTATTAAAACCTGTTTTTATACTTTCATGGTATTTTGACCCCAGTATATATATATATATATATATATATGTGTGTGTGTGTGTGTGTGATGTGGCGGCACGGTGGAGTAATGGATAGAAACTTGGATTGAGGAGTCGGAGAGCCGAGTTCGAATTCCAGTCGAATCCATTACATTCACTTATGTGCTAATACCCTTGGGAAAGCTGTGAAGCAGGACAGACTAGGTTCTATAGCCTTGGATGGCAACTAGTCTAGGAGAAGGACTACTCCGAATTCAAAACCTGCGGAGGGTCGTTTATGGTCGTTTAAAAAGTGTGGATGGTTCTGTACAAAACCTTCACCATTATAATCAAATCTCATGTGCTGACGTCAGACTGTCAGTTTCCTTGGAACTTATCTGCTTGACCCTCATACGTCAATGGGAGAGTCAAAGTATATATATATATATATATATATATATATATATATATACACATACATACGTACACTTTATTTTAGAATATTATATCAAAATATGTGAATAGCACTACACAAACCTTTGTGTAACATTATTCATGTTTTTGATGTAATATCCTAAAATGAAAAAATATCCCTCTACTATTGCTTGGAGCCCTCTTTTAAATTGAATATTACGACCGTCAGAATTTATATTCAATTCATTCTTATTTCATATGGAGATATATCAATTTGACCATTTAAATGATATCTTGAGTGACTTCAAATTGATTCCATCAAATGTGAGAATGCCAAAATTAAACTAAAATAGATGCATAGTTATAAGCAGAACGAACCTTGAAAACAAAATGGAGCAACATTTGAAAGTACTTAGAAAAAAAATAAAAATAAAATAAAAATAAATATGAAGTCTGGCAAATTTACCGATAACAAAACAACTAATTCAGAGATTTTAAAAATTTTGAAAAATTGAAAGAAATTATCTATATTATTTAATCAAACATGTTTGAAAGAATTTTTGCTGCTGAAATATGAAATAATTTTTTTATATATAATATAAAAAAATTTATCTCAAAATATTCCATGTCTGTTGTCATAAAAACAGCTGAGATTTCCAGTGTATTTTATAGGGTCAATAAAGTTAATCTGGCTTTGCCCATCTCTTCCCAAAATAACTTGCAACAAATTTTTCTTGGTCACATTGTACCAGACAGATCAGCAAAATAAAATTTGGAAATGGGATGAATCTAAGGGAACTACTTCGAAGGAGACGGTGAAAACTAATTGTTAGGATTAAATTCTTAAGTTTTGGTTAGCACCTTGTATAAGAATTTGAGAGCAATAACTTTTCAAGTGCTGTTCTTCAGACAGCGTTGTGTTTATTTAATAAAGAATGAAAGAGGAATTTTTAAAATCCCACAGCAAGGTCAACAACTTTAAAGTATTAAAATGTTTATTATGACCATCTTTACTTTTTAAGGAATGAGAAAACATTTTTTTTATAATGGTCACATTACAAAAACATTAATGCCCTGATGGCATACATACTGTATTTTCTTGGGCATAATGTAAAATTTCAAATTAAAATTACAGGAGAGACATATAAGTACATATTTTCATAAATTTTTTTTTTTTTTTTTTCAACTTGAAAAAAAAAAAAAAAAAAAAAAACTTATTTGAAACAGATTGCAAATACACGAAGCACAATAGATGATAAAATACAAAGTACGCGGGTATTGTTAAAATTAATTATAAATGTCATTTGATATAACAGCAGTATTTGTTCTTGGGGAATCAGCATTATGTTTAAAATTAGAACAGATTTATTCTGATTTTCTTGTTTTTTTTTTTAATATTTTTTTTATTTTCATAGCTTAATATATAGAAATCTAATAAAGTCATATCAAACAGAAAAGTCGGAGAGATGAATTATAACAGAACTCCTTAAAATATATTACCAGTTATATTTAGTTAGAAATTTTCCCTGAAAAT